TGAAGAAGAGAGAAAAGCAATCGACATTAGACAGATTCTTTAACCCTTTCAAACAGAAAAAAAACACGACTAATAAAAACGCAAGACTATGTATGTATGTATTTTTATTATCATCAATACATATAAATAAAGGTAGTAAGAAAGTATATATTTTTTTATTTTGGGGGGTCTCCAGAACCAATTAATCAAATTCCCATAGAAACCTATGGTAAATCGATAATCGGTTAACGAACAATTCGGATAGCGAACAAAGTCTTGGAACGGATTATGTTCGTTAACCGATCACCCACTGTATAGTATTTATAAATGCAGTTTTTTGTGACAGATGCTGATGATATTTGCATTGATGGCTCTTCAGTTGGAAATTGCAACAAAATATATTATCTGATTCACATGCTATGGCTTATTTTATGTATAAATATTATAACAAAATACAAGCAAGCAATTGTATTTTATGTAAATACAAACATTTATATAAAATACAATTGCTCAAGTTTTGTTCAATACCAAAATAGGTTAAATGCTGTTCTCAGAACACAGTTAAATGCAAAACACAGTTAAAGCATTAAACACATGTCATGCCAGTACTCACTTATTCTTTTGGAATTATATATTGGACTCTCACAGTTCTTGAGCAACTCCAAAGGAAAACAAGAACAACACTTACTAAGCATAAACGTCATCATCCTAAATCTGCATGGAAAGATTAATTAACCTTCCATGTAAAGATGGTGGATGTGGCCTGAGTGACATAATAAACTTTCACTACAAACAAATACTGCAAGACACTGCAAGAGTTTTCTACAAAAAACATCACAGTTACTTAAAGCAGTAACTTTAGCAGACCTAAATAACACGTTATTAAGTTTACAGGATTTTGTTGACAAAACTGTGTCAAACAGCTGGTTAGATTGGGGATGCCTCTTTGGGGAGAGGGAAGGATTCATGATTGCCATACAGGATCAGGTCATCGATACTAAAAACTACAGAAAACATACTCAAAGATATAACACACAAATGACACATGCAGAAAATGTCACATTATGCCAGAAACTATGCAACACATTACTTCTGGTTGCAAGCTCTTGGCACAGACAGATTATTTACATAGACATAATCAAGTAGCAAATATAATACACCAAGCAAGAGCTTGCAAAGAAACACAAATTATTAGACATCCACGAACCATACTACAAATACAAGTATTGGAAAACAACATACACAAAATGTATATAATAGCCATAATCTATACTAATATTATAAAGAGGTAATATTTGTAAGTTTGTATGCAGCAGGTAATCTCTGAAACTACTCATCTGATTTCAAAAATTCTTTCACCAATATTTAGAATGGAACTTCAGGGTGGACATAGTCTGTATATTATTCCGTTAAACATTTATATAAATTAAATTAAAAGATATAATCTAGGTTAAGGCTTTTATGTCCAACAGATGGCGCTACGAGTACGTCACCCTAAGTTTTCTTTTCTGTGAGGCATTATGCTTTTCTGTGAAAATGAACTAAAGCAGATCATCATCTATCTATTTATATAAATAAAAATGTAATGTTCGTTTGTTCCTACCGATTCCTTTGAAATTTTGACACAACGCTGCATTCGAATACGCATGTGTTTTTATATAATATACATGTCGAAATTCAACCCTACTGAAGGGAGATGGTTAGGATTAAGGTTTACGGTAAAGAACTCTGCTTCTATTTATACTACTTTAGATGCGGGTTTTTGCGTTTTTGATTGCGTTTTAATAGGGTATGTCAACAGAATGTACACTAAGAAGAAATTTTTTGATATTCCCCCGTGGGGAGAGAGACAGGATTAAGGCTTACCGTGAAGAACTTGGCTTCTATTATACTATTTTAGATGCGGGTTTTTGTGTTTTCGATTGCATTTTAATAGAGTACGTCAAGAGAATGTACACTAAGAAGAAATTTTTCGAAAAATTTCCCCCCACTGGGGAAGTGTTATAAATTTATAATAGATACATTTTGAGCCATAACAACGTGTGATGGGATCTGCTAGTCACAGATAAAACAATTTACTTCAACAGACTGGACATCATACACAAACACAATAAAATCACATACATTATAGACATAGCCATTTCAAACACTCACAATGTACAAAACACATGCACTGAAAAAATCAGCAAGTACACAGAACTCGCCCAGGAAATAAGGCATCTGTGGAGGATGGATAGGGTGTTTACTGTACCTGTTATCCTCTCCTCTACAGTTGTCATACCACAGAAACTACACAAAAGCCTGGGCACATTACAATTGAATATAAACACATGCATCACACTACAGAAGGCCACTATATTGTATACATGTCATATTGTTAGGAAATTCCTGAATACAGACACACAAACTGACACTTATTGAATTTTTGTGTTGCTTTGGTTGTTATGCCAGACTCTGGTCCAGCATAGTACACAGCAACTAGTGTCAACCCACTAAACCCAACATAATAATAAAATTATTCTGCAATACTACTATAATAATAACAACTTTTTCTCATCAATTGAAGTTTTCATAGAATTAATTTAACATACATATACATACATGTATATCTGGATGTCTACCAATACTTAAAATATTTTTATTTCTTAAATTCTTAGAATGTACTTAAAAATTACTTAATTGAATAGAAATACTTAAAGGGTTAGATATTTAGATACATGTTTTGTAGTCTAATCAACAAAAGAAAAATTGTTACTTAGAAGTGTGTATATTATCAGGTGTTGAAGTGAGTAGCTATTTTAGATATTCACTTCCTTTTTCAGAAACTTTCTGAAAATGACTTCTGACTAAATAGCTTCTTTTTAAAAAATGATTTTCACAAGAGTCTCTTTTTGGAAAGTTTTGATTTTCCTCTTTGGTGTCCAAACTGGAGAATGCCAAACTCATTATATGGAGCTACTAGTTGGAATTAATGAATTTAAGTAATTTTAAACTTCTAATCATAAATTAACTGACAATTTTCTATGCCAGTTTGTAGTCATGAGTAAGAAACATACATTCACTTCCCTTGACCAACAAATAAGTTATCAGGAAAAAATGTTATTGATTGAACCATGACAGGAACCAATTGCTGAACATTGAAATTAATGACAATAGTTTCCATATACTAGTTCAGTATGTTTCTATTGATTTGGTGCTAGACACACCTGCAAGGGATTGAAGAAAACAAATCCTGCAGTTAAGAAAATATTATAAAATGTTTCCAATTGTACTTTTTTTAAAGATTAGGAAAAATGTTCACTGTCCAGCAAAATTAGGAAAGGTACTTTCTGCTTGCCTCTTGAAGTTATGACAAGCCCTACATTATGAGATTATATGTGTATTGTGCTTTGAAGGATTTTGTTGGAAAAATAAAATTCAGGCAATGACAAGACTTTTCAAGTCCAGCATTATCAAGAAGTTAATGACAGAATTTGATGGAAAAATGGATTGGTTTTAGAATTTTTGTTGAGCAGATGTTCAAAGAACCCAAGCAAGTATTGTGCTAGTGGAATTTGTAAGAAAAATTCTAACACATACAAATGCTGATGCTGATAGAGCATTCTCCATAAATAAAATATATCATGTTGGGAATGTACATCAATGTTCTTGTAGTGCAGAAATTGGTACATTCATCACTTGCCTAAGCAGGTTCTGTTGAAAAAATATTTGTAACTAAAAGAATGGTTTTGGCAGCTAGGAATGCATCTTGACAAAAAGCTGTTGAGACATGTAAGAGAAGAGAGAAAGATGAAGTTCATGAGAGGAAAAAACAGCAAGAAAACTTGAAGAATTGAAAAGAAAAAGGAAGTTCAGGAATTAATGAAGAAGTAATGACCATTGATGAACAGAATCAAGAATTTAAGTAAAAAAAATGTATTTAAGAATGCTTGGTTTTTGGTAGAAACTGTACACAGTTTCTCTGAAGAGATATTTACTAAATTATCTTCATAAAAATCTAACCATATGATAATTGTAATAGATATTGTTTGAATACCTAAATAAGTTATTAGGAAAATCAATAATAATGATTTTATTGTAATTTTAATATTAAAGTTTTGAAGTATTGTTTCAATTTTAATTCCTATTTTTTTATAGGCAATAAATCGACCATCAGCTCTTCCTGCTCCAAATAAAGGTACAGTTCACTTATTTTACTATTAATTTTTTGTTTGTTATGCAAACTNAGCAGGTTCTGTTGAAAAAATATTTGTAACTAAAAGAATGGTTTTGGCAGCTAGGAATGCATCTTGACAAAAAGCTGTTGAGACATGTAAGAGAAGAGAGAAAGATGAAGTTCATGAGAGGAAAAAACAGCAAGAAAACTTGAAGAATTGAAAAGAAAAAGGAAGTTCAGGAATTAATGAAGAAGTAATGACCATTGATGAACAGAATCAAGAATTTAAGTAAAAAAAATGTATTTAAGAATGCTTGGTTTTTGGTAGAAACTGTACACAGTTTCTCTGAAGAGATATTTACTAAATTATCTTCATAAAAATCTAACCATATGATAATTGTAATAGATATTGTTTGAATACCTAAATAAGTTATTAGGAAAATCAATAATAATGATTTTATTGTAATTTTAATATTAAAGTTTTGAAGTATTGTTTCAATTTTAATTCCTATTTTTTTATAGGCAATAAATCGACCATCAGCTCTTCCTGCTCCAAATAAAGGTACAGTTCACTTATTTTACTATTAATTTTTTGTTTGTTATGCAAACTTTGCTTGTTATGCAAAAATTTAATGAAAATCTTAAAATATATATTAGAACAATGAATATGTTTTTTAAAGTTTATATTTAAGTAATAACAAAATCAAGATTTTTTAGACAAAGAAGTTTTGAAAAACTTTTTTTTTAAACAATAATTTTTAAAACAAATGACTTATTAGAGAAGTTAAAAATATATGGAAATTTTCAGATATTTAGAGTTAACATATTCATATTCAATCATTACAAATTAAAATAATTTCAGATTTTAGCATTTTAAAAATAGTTGTTGCAAATTTTGATTTTATAGTGACCAAAATCTGATATAGTGATGTTTCATTTTAAATTACAGTTAAATCTCAGTTATTTGGCTACTCCTGAAATTCCCCTGTAAAATTGCATAAGTTTTTTAATATAAATCAAACTTCATCTAGCCATCTCACTTTAGGACACTTGTATCTTGGTCACTTAAGTGGTATTTATCCTTGTTCATGTGGCCAGCAAATTAGGAAAAACCCAGTGTTTCTAAACTCAATGTATTACCTAAGGCACTGTAAATGGAATTGAGCATGTTGCTATAGTTTAGAATAGTTTGCCAAGTTTCCTCTCACAGATGNAAAAATTTAATGAAAATCTTAAAATATATATTAGAACAATGAATATGTTTTTTAAAGTTTATATTTAAGTAATAACAAAATCAAGATTTTTTAGACAAAGAAGTTTTGAAAAACTGTTTTTTTAAACAATAATTTTTAAAACAAATGACTTATTAGAGAAGTTAAAAATATATGGAAATTTTCAGATATTTAGAGTTAACATATTCATATTCAATCATTACAAATTAAAATAATTTCAGATTTTAGCATTTTAAAAATAGTTGTTGCAAATTTTGATTTTATAGTGACCAAAATCTGATATAGTGATGTTTCATTTTAAATTACAGTTAAATCTCAGTTATTTGGCTACTCCTGAAATTCCCCTGTAAAATTGCATAAGTTTTTTAATATAAATCAAACTTCATCTAGCCATCTCACTTTAGGACACTTGTATCTTGGTCACTTAAGTGGTATTTATCCTTGTTCATGTGGCCAGCAAATTAGGAAAAACCCAGTGTTTCTAAACTCAATGTATTACCTAAGGCACTGTAAATGGAATTGAGCATGTTGCTATAGTTTAGAATAGTTTGCCAAGTTTCCTCTCACAGATGTTAAAGTAATCTTTATTTACTCTGGACAAATTAAATTTATTTCCAGAACTTAGAAGAAAGACTATTATATATTTGTTCAATAATTTTATACAAAATTTAATTGTATTTTGTAAAAATATAACTGTAAATAAGGAATGATAGGTCTGACACTGGTGACAATGCAGAAAAATATCAATGAGCCTGATGTAAAAGCCAGTTTATTATTAACACTTTTTCAGACACTTTGAAACTTTTGCATATCCTGCAACTTCTGTTTAATATTTTTATCTGAATTTTCTTGTTAAAATACTATATTTAAATGACCTTTATTACCATTTCATAAACATATTGATTTTATCTATGGGTACTAAACAATTTGTTCAGTACTATACTGTATACAGCATTTGAATGAACCTTATTGTAAACAGCTTGCATTTGCTGTATATGTATTCTGTGAATTATTTATTTACTTTTTTGTATTAAACTTTTAGCAGGATTTAGGACAGTACTCTAATCACAGTTCTGTATGTTAATTTTTATTTAACCCCACATTTATGTGTCCATAGGTTAATTTAATTATAAACCCTGAAGGTGGCCACATAAGCAAGGTTTTATTGTATATCATTTTACAAACCATCTCTTCTCATCAAATTTTAAGAATAAAATAACTAATAAATATTAAATTAATGCTAGCAATAATTTAATTAAAAATTATTTAAATGATTAATGAATTTGTCACAGGTTTAGCCATACCATTGTTTAAAAATTTTTAAATTTTAACAAGGTTTAAGATTTGATTAGATTATACATTAAAGAAAAGAGAAGTATTGCACTATAGCTTATAAAATAAAAGCAACATTTTGTTAAAACTAGTTATTTCTGTTTGCCACTATTGGAGTTTCTATAGTTATGAATTATAGAATTATGTAATTTACCAAAGCACAAAAATCTATAAGAAAAAAATTTGTCTGCAAGTTTTTCCTTAAATTTGATTTAATTAAGAACAAAGCAGAGCATTAACTCTTAATCAACATCACAATAACTTAAAATACAGCAAATTCCAAGATAATGAAATTACTCTAATCACTTGAAGTTGATTAGATCAATTAAAGCAAATCTTACCAGCTTTAGAATTTTTTAAAACATATTAGTGATGATATATTGATTTATGTGAAGTTTATAAATTATATACAGTACTGTTTACAATATTAATAGAAAATCACTATAATAAAAAAAATTAATCATGAATTTAAGCTGTTAAAGAAGAATGGCTTCATTTTGTTTCTGTTCTGATTTTCTTTAATTTCAAATACTCCACTATATTAAGTTTAATATAAATTGTTTTTACATTACTATTAATAAAGTAAGCAAATTGTTATATTAAATTTTTATACTGGGTGATTTGGAAGTCTAGACTAGCAGTCATTTGCTGTATCAAGAATGTAAAATTTTTTTTTATGCAACAGTGAACTGGTTTTTTTTTAATTCAGAATGGTTTTTTTATTCTTGATTATGTATGCATGTATTTATTATTAATAAATGTTTGTTTACATAGGAATGCTTTTTTTTAAATTAAGAAAGCAGTAGTAATCAGTTATCATAGTTCTTGCTCTTAAAAAATGGATGAAAAACCTACCTGAGATAAAAATGAATTAAATGAATTTTGTAGAATGTTTAAATGCAAAAACGTTTCTTTTTTTTACATACAATAGTATCAGTAAATGTTTTATCCATGTGAAATTAGATGTTCAAACTGCATATCTAATGTGATTTTGCACATATAAACTATTGCATACACTGATATAAATCTTTTAAAGTAAATATAAGAAGTAATTCAGGAATACAAGATTGCATTCCTGAATGATGAAATGATGTCAAGTTGATATTAGTTTGTGATCAATTCAAATATTGCTTTCTGCAAATGGTTGCTACAATAGACTTCTGGATCACCCTGTATATGAATCTTTTTTAATATAAAAAGTTCTTAAAATTTGATATTTTTGTTTTTTACAGGATCAGTCCGTTCACGTCAAACATGTGCTCGCTCACAACTTCAAAATGGCCATATTGATAATTATCAAGCACCAATGCCACCACCACCTGTGCCACCACCAGCTCCAGCTCCAGTCCCTCCTGCTCAATTACAACCAATTCAAAAGCTTACTGCTGTTCCTGCATGTATGGATGTTGTTATATATTTTAAATAATTTATTAAATAAATTAGCATATTAAATACAAAATAAAATTAATAAAAATAATAATAATTTATGAAACACACTGCTGGTTGTGTACAGTATGATGCTGTTTTTAATTTTTGTATTACTACACAAAAATTTAGTACACTGAATGGAAACAGGTTCTTGAAGTTTTAAATCTGATTAATACACTCATTAGCTTTAAGGAAACAGAATTGAATGAAACTTTATTAATGCAAACATAATGATGGCATTAATATCATCATAATTACAGTATCCTAGTAAAGGGATAATTTCTTCTTCAACAATGGTGCAATTTAAAGCAACTTTTAGTACCTTGCAGTATTTCCTCTGCCTTGATACAGGTTTGAAGTAATTGGACATAAACGTGCAGTCACTCTATGCTATCCTGTTACAGATTTATGCACAAATGATATAGCAGCCTAGTGCCAGCTTGACTGTAACTTCACCTGAGGCAAACTGATTTTTGCCACTCCTACTTTTGGAATGGTTGCCATTAGAGAGTCGTTCTAGCACTAGTACTGAAGTTATTCAAGTTGTACACAAAGAAATAGTGTTTAATATTTTATGAATTGAATACTGAGTTTTGTCCTGAAAAAAAAAAATGTATATACAACAAAAATAAATTAAAAAATGTTAAATTTCAAATTTGTAATTGTAATAATTTAAAATGTGCTCATTAACATGTTCACTGTGAGTAAAAATCTTGTATAAAAAAATATCAAAATGAATAATGTTTTAATGTAAATTTTATGTGTATGATATAAATTTTAGTAAATGTAGTAATAAAATTTTTAGCTCGAAGACGCTCCAATGTAGTTAAAGAGGTTGATAGGATTAAGAAGCAGAGAGAAGAAAGACGAGCAAGGCAAGCAGAAAAGAAGGCTGAACAATTAGAATTAATGAATTTAGATCCTGGAAATCCAAACTGGGAATTTCTTGGAATGATAAGGTCAGAATTTTGTAAAGATTTAACTTCAAAATAATGTTTTTTATGATTTGATAAATTGTCTTTTAATCTATAATGGTATTTCTATTTTAGAGATTATCGTGCACAGATAGAACACAGGCCTTTAACTCTTAGTGATCCAGTTCAAGTACAGCAAATATGTGTAGCCGTAAGAAAAAGACCTTTAAATAAAAAAGGTAAATTATTATGTATACATATTATAATTAGTAAAACTTTCAAGCCTAACACTTATTCTAGATGATATTAATGATTATGAATATTATAAATAAATAGATAGGATGTTAAACTTTGTAATTTTTAAAAGAAATTTTAAAAAACTTTTATTTGCTATTTGAAAGCTATATATTTTAAATAAATATACATTAAATATAACACTTTTTAATTGCTACATCTATGTAAAATCTTTTATTTCTGTTTGTTAGCTGTCACACCATTGAAGTAAAATACATGATTTTGAATGTCTCATTTATTAAAAGAGCAAAAGATGTAATAATTAACAGTAACTTACTTTGTAGAGAAAAGTTTGGAATTTTGTTACCACCATGGCACAAATTAAATTTGTGCATGGCACAAATTATCTAGTGCGTTGTGGCAAAAAAAATGGTAGAATATAAATTGTCAACTGTACAAAAAAGTTGTTTTTCAATTTTTTCAAACAAAATTATACTGAAATTTCGTTAATCTGGCTCCTGGTATGCTGACAAATCTGATAAGCCAGCATGTCAAGTTTATTATTGGGTTTGGGGTTAAGATTTTCATATAAAAGTTTCCAAAACATGCAGTTCTTAGAAAGGGGTATAGGTTTTTCTTTAGAGATGACAAATGCCAATATAACATGATACTGTGCTAAGTACGACTAGTTAGCTTGTGCATAATTTTTCTAAATCCATTCATGCACAGGTTTGATATGAGAAGCAGAAATATTTAGCATACTTGGAATCAATAATTATTACTGGAACAGTTAGTGTATTACTATTTATGTGTTTTGTTTATTAGAACATGTCTGTATTTATAAACAATAAAATTGTACAAAGCATAAAATAAGAATACAGTTATCCCTTGCTTAAGGTGCAAAATTAATTGTGACAATTCCTTTATGTACAGTACATGACAAGTTTTAATGTGGCTTTAACAGCTGTCTTTATTTAACATATAAGGTTTTAGTGAATTTGCTATTTTTGTGTGGAGAGTGATTTCCAATATAAATATTTAGTTTAATTATGCAGTTGTGAAATTTAACACATTATGGCTAATGTGATATTGTATTCTTTGTTTAGAAGTTTATTTTAAAACGTAATTTTGTTTGCCTACAATCAAATTGGAATGTCTGCAGATAAAATGCATATGGGCATATTATATGTTTAAGTTTTTTAAAGGATATAACAATATAAAAACAGAAAAATATTTGCAGTGTGTATGGGAAAGATGCTCCTAAATGTCGAATGTGTCAAATATAATTTTTTAAAGTTTTGTGTAGGAAATTTTTTAACTAAAGGATACAAAATGCGCTGGCTGCCCAAAAGGTGTTGACAAAAAGAAATTTCAGGAAGAAATTGTTAAAATTGATAAATAACAACTTGTGAACTGCAACAAATCTCTCATCAACATGACAATTTTTTTCACTTAATGCATATGGAACACAAACTGGATCAAGCATAATTTATTTGATGAAGATAAGCAATCTAAAGTTTTATTTTATTTTTAAATTAGTTACACATTTTTATCACAGAAAACTTTTGTACTGATGACAAAAATTAATCTCATTAATCAAGGGGTACCTTTAGAGTGTTCTTGTTTCAAGCCAACCAAGGATAGGAATAGCCTTAAAGAATTGAAATGGTGTATTAAACAATCATAAAAGGTGGATTTGTACAGTTTTGCACATGAAGATGTGTAAAATTGTGTCCAGGTAATCAATAAAACCAGAAAAACTTTCATCTGATAACTCAGCACCACTTTAGTCCCAACAATGCCGGTTAACAGAATGTCACTACTAGTATTCAATGCTGGTTAAAAAGGAGTTTTAAGTGCAAGTGTACTCTTGATTGGAAATTGTTCATTAAACACAGCAATTTAAAGGTATTAGCAATATTATAGATACATCAAAAAGCAAATGACAACCAATGGTGCATTCTGAGATGCTAAATACTGTTTGAAATGACAATGTCAGAAGCCCTTAGAAAAAATCAGTTTGCCAATTGTTAATGGAGTTCAGGATTTTTTACAGCTTGTATTGGAGAATACTACAAAAGAACTTAAATATATTTCTTTATAAAATTAATTTTGCAAAGCTAAATCAAATCACAAAGTTGAAATTTATATATTCAGTAATGATTTCTGACCTCATTGAAGAATAACCAAAGATCTTAAATAATTTGTGGTGCTTGGATTAAGTTTATTTCCATTTAACTTGTAATACCAAAAAGCAAAATGTTTGATTTTTGGCAGCAGAAAATCTTCATGGAATCATTCAGACAGAATTGAATTCAAAAAAGTTTTGATTTGGTTTTAGTTGTAAACAATGGTGGTGAGCAGTGTGAGATTACAGGAACTTTTTTTGGTAATATGAATTATCCAGGTAGGTGTCATGCATCAGATGTTACATGAATTCTTCATTCCTATGCTAAAGTATTTACCAGTGGCAAAATGGATAAAACCACTGAACACTGGTAGTTGGTCATCAGTTTATACCTCTCCAATGAGCTGGCCACTTGGTGTTTTCCAGATTTTCTTCACATTAGTTATACCTAAATAGGACCATTTTCCCATAAAAGACCTTCTAAGAGACATTTTCCCTCTGCAGATTGCCCATGTGTCATGTTGCTGTGTATGAATAAAACCAATCATTCCTATGCTAAAGAGGAAACAAGTTCCAGAGTGACTGCAATGATGGTGCATGACCTCACAATTAAAATTCTCACTTTCTTGCACAAGCCTTTTCAAATGTGCTTTCTTAACACTATCCAAACTGTGATGTTTTGGTCACCTCACCAACAAGCCCTTGCAATATCTTCCTCTGGGGCTACCTTAAACAAGATGTGTTCAAAAAGTGCCCAGAATAATTGAAGAGGTTCAAAATCATGTCACTGACTGTTTTGCAAACATTTACTTCAGGAAGGTTCACAACAATGTTTTGATTTGTATTCAATGTTTTACAGAACTGGTAGCTGTGTTGAACATGTCATAAAATAAACTCTGAACTTTCTTGTTTAAAATGGTATATTGTTTGTTATATCTTTTATACCAGGGATGGCCAACACGTAGACCACGGTCGACCGGTTGACTGGCAAGGTTTTGAAAGTAGCCTGCGAAGCTAAAGTTGAACAATTTGCTTTCACTTAAATTAATGTTTAAAAATCTTAATTCAATAATTTATTCTTACAATAATAGATTGTCTGTGCAACGTACCCATACTGTTTGTATTTATCCCGATGAACAATGCAAATGAATGTTAATGCATGCGCATATAAAAATCCTAAAACTGTTTGCCCATATTTATAGTCGCCCGGAGACTATATTTTACCAAAAAAGTAGTCCCTAAGGGATAAAAGTTTGGCCACACCTGTTTTATACTTTCCCCCGTCATCTTATTTAGAAATTAATATCAGATACAAATTCACAGTGAAGTCAAATTTATACTGTCAAATTTTTTCAAATGGTTTAACTGCAGAGAACACAACTGTTAACTTTTCGGAAAATTTGCAACATTCTGTGAAGGATAAGAATGTGCTGAAACAAAAACTAATTACTGATCATCTTAAAAATTAAACTTGAATATGTTTGTGAACTTGTTTTATTTGCATGTATGTACTGTACACACAAAGTATCATAAAGCACAAGTTCACAAACATGTTCAAATTTAATTTGTAAAATGATATATGTTGAATATATATACATATATGTTGATTATATATATATATTCAACATATATCATTTTACAAATTAAATTATTTTTAAATTATATACTTTGTAGATATATAGTATTATATTAAAGATTGTACAGTATTATATAATATATTACATTATACATACCTCGTATACAACATAGATATACAGTATATAATTTAAAAACTTCCATTAACTCTTAGCTCTGAAAATTTTTGTTCTATGTACCTGGAGGCAAAATTGTTTTTATTTCGCAGGCTGCAAGGGGAATCTGTAAAGAAAAACCAGTTAAACCACTTTCCTTTCAGCCAATTTTGGCCAAATTAATGTTAAGAGTTAAATCTTTGTTAGTCCATCAAGTTCATGTCTCTGACTATGCATTGTAATATCAATTAGTTATAAATATATTTAAAAAGTAAGTGAAAAATTTTTTAAATAAAAAATGTTTTATGATTTATAAAATTTTTATTTTCAGAGCTTACAAGAAAAGAAGTTGATGTTATTACAGTTGCTAATAAAGAACATATTATTGTTCATGAACCAAAATTAAAAGTAGATCTAACAAAATATTTAGAGAATCAGTTATTTCGTTTTGATTATGCATTTGATGATAATGCTGATAATGAATTAGTATATAAGTAAGTTATTTTTTTATTTACAAAATCAATATTAAAATTTACCAGAATAACTTTAAAACAATTTTCTTCACTCAGTATTTGTTCTGCTTTTTTTTGGTAATTATTTTCAGCAGATATACGTTGAATAGCTGTGCTGCAAGGTCCTCCTGTAGTTCCAGATTTTTGTTGTTCCAAATAAAGTTCTGTGCATCTAATGCAATTTTCATCACTGACAATATGTTGCAGCTGTCAACATAAAAATAAATTACATTTTTAATAATAATAATTATTATTAAAACCTAAAATTTATGGAAAAACATTAAATAAAAAATTATATTAATTCTATTTATGGAAATATGTCTCATTACTTTTATTATTTTATTAAAAAATAACAATTTTATTATCATACTATATCATGTTCATTTTTATCCAATATTTATTAAGAATATTAAATATTCTCACACAAATTATATTGCCAATAAATAGAATGAAAATAACATTGGAATGTAGATTATCATATGTTCTTCANTTTTCAGTTTAGGTAGATCTTATGGCAGGAATAGTACAAAGACTGAATTCTTGACATATTCCTATAAGAAAATTTGAATAGTTGATCAGGTGATTGAGAATGATCAGCAATATAGCACTTGCCATTTTCACTACATATCCAATCTAATATTGTGACAAATCTGATTGCAATGACTATAGATGAGATGTGACAGAATTTAATAGCACTGTTAAGTGGTGATATCGTTGTTATAATCAAGCTGTGACATTAATTTTTTTGTGATATGTTCAAATTTGTCTTATTTTGCTAACAGATACTATATACTGTTATTTTATACTCTTAACTGCACGTCAGCTTGATTCAAAATTTTGCTGTATGTATAACTATGTTTGGACATACTTTGGCATACAAAATACCTTCTCTGATCATGTTTTTCTATCTGCAGTTCTAGCAACTATCAATGAAACTAGACATCACAGCATTTTAACAAACTGAAGAGTTTATCAATGTCTTGTGTTACCTTCTTTTGTGCCATTCAAATGTTCAATTTTTGTATTCTGATAAGGATTTACTACTACTCCTATATGATTTATTTTCCTCAAGTAGATATATTTGTGCTTTAAGATTACCTTTACACAAAAGTAATTTTGAAATTTTTTTAAAGTACTGCTGAGTTATGTTTTGAAATTGTACTTACTGTACCAACTAATCTAATATTTAAAAATGATGTTTATAAAATATTGCTTTTAAGCACTAAAAATTTTTGTTACAAAATGTTTGTTTTATATAAATTGTTATGAAAGAGGTTTTACATATTTATTGTTGAAAAGTACTGTTAGTGTTTTTATTAATCTGGCTCTCTAGCAATTGATTATTATCAGGCTAGAGCATGACTAATTAATTATACACATATTAAATGATTTCAATTAAAGCTAGGTGGTTATGCCCCATATTGTATTAAATTTAATAATAAAAAATAAATTTATTTTGGAAGAAAAGATTGAAATTGTTTTTCTGAAGCGAGATTTATACTCCCTACTTCTGCTTACTCTGATAGTGTTTGTGCAAGCAGAATTTGAGTTCCATTTATAATTGACCTTTTTTTTCTGGAATAGTCTAACTTAATTAATTTTTTAGTTATATGATATGATATAACTATAAATTTCTATCCAGTGTTTCTCAACCACTGGTCTGCAGTAAAATATTTGATCATACTGATGCTGGTACAGTTGATAACAGGTAACATTTAAATAGTAATCAAAAGTTACTGTATATACTTTGCTAGTCACTCTAGATAAACATTTATAAATATAATTCATGGTCACAAATAATTACTGTTTAATGTAAAATTATCCATACTTCTATGTGGACCAATAATTTCACTGGTCTGCAATGAGAAAAAAGTTGAAATACTGCTCTAGTCCAAAGTATGTAATATCTGTATAATAAATTAGCTATGTTCTCACGTAATAGTTAATCTAATTCCATAATTTCATTACTACAATTTGAGCTTTATTTTCTATACTTCTGTATTTTTAATTATATTAAATATGATGTGATGATAACATTAGAATCTAAATTATTTTTTGGAATCTAATATTTATCTTAATGTAATGAACTATAAAAACTTCTAACACTTATAATTTCTGTAATAGATTCACTGCAAAACCATTAGTGCAGACAATATTTGAAGGAGGAATGGCTACTTGCTTTGCATATGGTCAAACAGGAAGTGGTAAAACCCATGTATGTCTAACTTATATAATTTTTTTTACCTAATACACTACATTTTTTTTTATAAATTATACACTTGATTTTAGACTATGGGTGGTGATTTTATGGGAAAATCTCAAGATTGCAGTAAAGGAATTTATGCATTAGCAAGTAAGTATTATCAAAGTATTTTACCATTTGATGAATCATTATATTTAATCCATCTTAATATTTTACAGCTAAAGATGTCTTCAAGCTACTAAAATCACCTCAATATAGAAATGAAGATTTAATAATTACATCTAGCTTCTTTGAGATTTATAGTGGGAAAGTTAGTTTCAATTTTAATTTAAATTAATATATAAATAAGATTAATTACATATAAAATTGTCTTAATATTCTCTTAAAAGGTATTTGACCTGTTAAATAACAAAGCAAAATTAAGAGTTTTGGAAGATGGAAAACAGCAAGTCCAAGTGATTGGATTACAAGAGAGAGTTGTAGAATCTGTAGAGGATGTTTTGAAACTTATTCAGCATGGTAATAATGTAAGGTAAGACATAGTTTTATCATTAAATATGCTTGATAGGAATTAAGCAATTTTTCACATATATAAAATCATTTTTAAAAGATTAAGATTATATTATATCATAATTTGATAAAGTTATATTTGTGCAATAACTAAAATAGTATACAATATCTAGAATTAATGTAATGTACGAAATCAGTCAATAATAGCAAACTATGTTGAAATTATAATAATTACAGCATATTTTTATGAATGTCATCTCATTTGTTTATTGCAATTTTTTAAAAACTATAAATGCATTTAAAAAATAATAGAATGCTTGTAAATTGGATTTGTTAGAAATTTCATGGATTTTTAATTATCCACAAAGTAAAAAATTCTAATTGATCAGAAAAACATCTAAAATATAGTAAAATTATAAATAAATA